TCGGGGTTAGAAAGACCGTTGTCTGTTGATGGAGGTCGAAAGTACTATAGTAGGCGACGGACGTCATAAGGACCGTAGCCGGTAGGATACATAGGTCTGAAAGAACATAGTTGGCAAGAGATCGGGGAAAGAAAGACCATTGTCTGTTGACGGAGGTCGGAAGTACCATAGTAGGTGACAGAGGTCAGAAGGACCGTAGTCGAAGGTCAGAATGACTGTAGTCGGCAAGAGATCGGGGTCTAAAAGACTGTTATCTGTTGATGCCTTGCTGGCGGGAGCGGCTGTAGGGGGAGCGGAAGATTTTTTTTATTCAACCGGCGGTTTATGTCCGCTGGCAAGCCGCCGGCATTATTTGCCACCGGAAAAAGCCGTCGGAAATTATTTTCCTACGCCATTTTTTCCGGCGGCACAAATACCGCCGGAAAACCCCCAGAAAATGAAAAAATCGCCGGAAAATGCTCAAATTCCTCCGGTAATTGCTGCCGGAAATGGGTGATTTTCTTGTAGTGAGGACCATAGTAGGCGACGAAGGTCGGAAGTACCATAGTCGGTAGGAGACAGAGGTCCGAAAAATCATAGTTGGTAGGTGACCAGGGTTAGAAAGATAATAGTAGAAGGGTGGTACTTCGGGAGAACTCTCGGCATCAAGTGGTGGCCCGGCTGAAGTCCGAGTCTTAGGTTGTGGTCTGGTAAAATTCCGGGTCTTAAGTGGCGGTCCGACAGACGTCCGGGACTTAGTGGTGGTCCATTAGAACTCCGGGCATCAGGTGATCTCCTGGTGGAGCAGAGGGCCTCAAGTGGCGATTCGATAGAAATCTGGTCCTCAAGTGGTGGTCTAGCGGAGCAACGACGTCTGGCGGTGGTCCGACGGAGGTGATGGACTCAAGTGATGGTCCGGCGGAGCAACGACGTCAAGAAGCGGTCCGGCGAAGGTGAGGGTCTTAAGTGGTGGTCCGGCGGAGGTGAGGGCCTCAAGTGATAGTTCAGCGAAAGTTTGGGTCTCAAGTGGTGGTCTAGCGGAACAACGACGTTAGGCGGAGTAACGACGTCAGGCGGTGGTCCGGCGTAGGTGAGGGACTCAAGTGGTGGTCCGACGGAGCAATGACGTCAGGCGGTAGTCCGGTGGAGGTGAGGGCCTCAAGTGGTTTCAGTGGAAGTCTGGGCCTCAGGTGGTGGTCCGGCGGAGCAATGACGTCCGACGGAGGTGAGGGCCTCAAGTGGTGGTCCGGCGAAAGCGAGGACCTCAGGTGGTGGTCCGGTGAAGGCGAGGGCCTCAAGTGGTGGTCCAGCGAAGGTCTGGCGGTGGTTTGGCGAAACTCCGGTGGTGGTCGAGGAGGAGCTTCTTCATTCTCTTCTCTTCTTCTCATCTTGTTCCGATCCCCCATCAAGAGAAATGAGGGGTCCATTTATAAATTTTTTGAGTGGCATGAACCGTAAATAGGTGAGAGATCAAGGGCAAATGGGGAGTGGTTGGATGGACGGCCGATATTGAATCCCTTAATTGTGGACCGTTCGTAAGACATTTGAAGGTCTTAGTTATGTTGGAATTCAGCAATATTGGGCTCGTTGGATTCGTCTCATTGAGCCGCTCGATTCATTTATAAGTGTGTCATGTTTGGAATCCGTTTACTAACCCAAATTGTGGTTCAAACCTTCCAACAGCGCTTCAAGTCCTTTATTTGGGCTTGGATTGAGTCGAATTTGGTGTCTTTGGATTCGTATTTCCGAGACGTTCAGTTTGACTATAAGTTTGCTGAAATCGGAGTTCAGATAGTCCCAATTTTAATTTCGGAAGTTTCCACCTCGATTTTGCATTGAGATTCGTGCCCGATCAAGATAATTTTTTGAGGACGTATCAATAATAAAAAAATCATTTGGCACATTCTCTTTTTTTTTGGGGTAATTTTGGGGAATAACCCATTTTATTAAAAATCAAATATAATGTTCAACAGATAAAACAGACAAATGCAAGAAACAAGAAGAAAAACCAAACAATAACCAGCATTCTATAACAAAGATAGAATGTGGAAATACAAATCAAGATAAAACATAAACATATAAAAGGATTAATGGATTTAAAACAAAATCAAGCAAACAGCAGACTGCAACTTTTCTTCACCCAGCAGAAGGAAGGCAGATCTGGTTCAATCTCCCAGTAAATTCGCAAAAGCTTTGACAGGATCGGAGAGTAGTTCAGATCCCAGAAACCACAAACTTTAGAATATCTCCTTCCAGGTTTTGAATCCATCCAATGGTGTCCAAGTCTCTTTCCAATAGTTTTTGCCCAGATATAGTCCAAAATATGCAAAAGAAAAAGGAAACAAGAATCAACAAAGAATATAGGAAAATTTTCTTTGAAGATCCTCAAAGTTTTTCCAGTTAGACACTTTCAATTTAATAGCTTTTTTAATAAGTAAACTGCAGGTCTGAGGAGAAATCCAGTTACCATTAAACCGTCTGTTGTTCCTTTCAGTCCAAAGAAAGTAAACAAGTGAAGTGATAACAAGATAAATGAAAATTTTCTCTTTAGAAGTAAAATCTGGAGTGAGATCAAAATGTTCCAGTAATTGAATTAAAGTAGGCCTCATATAGAAGTTGCTAGTATGAGGAAGTAAGGAGAAAACAATAGTGAAAGAGTAATCACATTCAAAGAATAAGTACTTATGATTCTCATTGTGATTTTGGCAAAAATTACAAGACGAAAAAATATTTAAATTTCTTCTTAAAAGAATGTCAGGTGTTTTTAATTTTTCCATCAAAGCCATCCAAGAGTAAACCGAAAATCTGAGTGCATGTTTTTTGAACCAGATAAATTTATGCCATGAAACAGTAGTCAAATTGTCATAAAAGCTAGCCATATAAGAATGATGATTCGGGTTTGGTAAGCCATCCCAAAGCATAGCCGGTTGCTTACCAATTTGAATCTTAATAATTTCTTCCACCACAATTCTCGGAATGTCAGGATATAAATTCCAAGTGTTCAGAGAAATGAAATTTTTAACCGGAATAAAATCCTCAGTAGGGTGATAAATGATATTGGCAATAGCTTTACCATTACACCAAGGATCCCAATAAAAAGAAAAATTACTGTCAGCAGTAATATTAAAAGTAATATTATGCTTAATGTTACCAGCCACCTCACAAATTAATTCTCATTCGCCTCTCTAAGTCGTTCATGAATAATTTTCCATTTTTCCGGTTTTCAATCCCGCACACTTTACGAGGGCGAACGTAAAAATCATTAATGTATGCGCCTACCCCGCATGCGGTCACCATTTTAATTCAATACCTCTCCCATCCTTTGATTAGTCAACTACTCCTTCATTTATTTACAAAAATAACCATAATTAAGATTTTAGTGTTTGAATTTTTTACTTTGGTATTAAATATCTAAAGAAAAAAAAAATGAGCAAAATTAAAAGTAAAAATAATTACTTCCCATTCTATGTTCAAATTATGAAATAATACTATTGGAGTTTTGATTTGATATCCTAATTATACTTTAGTAAGTATATTAAAAAAAAATTAAATAAATCCTTATATTAATTTAGTTTCTTAAAGTCATCTATTTGATTTGCGCACAAATGTGTAGCGCACGGACTGAACATTTTTTAGAACTCTAATCGTCCGAATTTGAATAGCCATCATATCGAGAAAAAAAAATTTACTTTGACTATAAATACATTTGGTTGAACAAAGGATTATATGAAGGGCATTAGAAAAGAAAAAAAAAATCGCTAAAAGACAACGAGTGGGGCCTGGTTTCTACTAAAAGTTAGGATTTTCAAAAGTAACTTTATGGCTAAAAAATTTAATAAACATAATAGCTAAAAGCGGTTCCAAACGAGTAATTATTGTATCCGGACATCGAATACGTCCATAGACCAATAACAAAGTGCCACGTCACTTAGGTGTCGGTATCGCTCTGTATTTGTCTGGATTTTTGATTTTTTGTCTGACGTAATAACTTTTCGTCCCAAACAAACCCAAAAAGAAATAATGTGAGAGCTTTGAGACCTTAAAGATAGAAGGGAAGAATAGAATTTTGATATTTTTCGCTAAGGGGGGGAGAGAGACAGAGAATATTAGACTTGCAAATTTGGATATGAATGAAGGGAGTACGATGATTTCAAAAATTTAAGGGAGAAAAGGGAGCGAAAAGGGAACGACGATTTCAAGAACTTGTCAATGAAAGTATTTTGAAAATTTTTTAATTAATTTTAATAATTTTTATATGATAAATGTTATAAAATAAAGGCTTCCTGTTGTTGTTATTATGATATATGAATATTAAAATTTAAAAAATTATATATGTAAATATATAATAATTCAATGACATATTGCTGTTGTTTTTATTATTACATGCATGTAAACCCCACTAGGTACCAGATGATGTGGCGTGTTCTGATTCGCCTTTAGATTGTTCGATGACCGCACAGAATAATTTCTCGACCACTTGAGGGTAAAATTGTTGGGGAAAAAATCATACATCTTGATGGAACGTAGGTCACGAGCCTCATCCTTCAATTTGTGCTGAGATTAGTGCTCAAGATGATATCTAAAAATTGCCTTAGTCGCAACACAAATTCAAAGACAATGAACTCATCCGGATGCAAATTTTGTCGGCATATCCTAATATAAAATTTTCCTAATATTGTTCATAAATTCATCATTAAAAAAAATAGAAAGATCTTGATTAAAAATTTGATAAAAATATGTATTAAAATATTTGAATCTATTTTGAGATAAGTTGAATATATAAATGATTAAACATACACTCATATCAAAACAGAACTAAAAGCCATCAGTCAGGCTTCGTTTGGGACAGCTTTTTAATGCTTTCTAACACAATCTTTTTGTTAAAAAATTTCTTAATTAGAAATTTTTGTACTAAAAGACTGTCTCAAACGAAATCCCATTCTGATTCAAAACATCCTACTATTTCAAGGACAAAAGAAAGAAACAACTTATATGCAACATCATCAAAACAAAGTCCTATAGATCCAAAAATTTAATACTCATAAATTTAAAGATGACCAAAAATGGAACAAAAGTACTCTCTTGATCCAACCAAAAGCAAAACTTACTGTTACAAAGCTGTTGGCCATAAAGGAGAATTTATAGTTTCAAAGAGTTAAATGAACCTATGAGTAACTCTTTCACAATAGCTGCAATCACATAACTGACTTCAAATCTAATTAAAATTTTCCAATTCAAATGTGACAATTAAATACCTTTCTGGTGAAACCGACTGGAACTAAATGCTTGACTTTTGAAGCTTTTGACCTCGCAAACCATTCCAAAAGTCTGAAGCTTTCATCACCCTCTTCCCTGGTATATGGAGCTCAAGAACCTGTCAACAAAGATATAAGAGCGGAAGGATTGAGACTTTTGTTTAGGACAACTTTCTTTCTGCTTTCTAAAGTAGCTTTCTAGTACAAAATCTTTTTAAATTAGAAATTTTTGTACTATAAACTGTTTTAGAAAGCAGCAAAGAAGCAGTCCCAAACGAATGAAGCTTGAGTGTGTTCATATACAGTAATCTATTGCAACTTTGTTAGAACAGAAATGGCAAGGTTTCTGCACCTCAAGGCAAGTTGATCCTGCGCATGGAATCAGCAAAGAACCTCCATCAAACAGGATATCATCCTCACCACCCTTTGTTTCAGAGATTTTGCAAAATCTAGTTGTGATGATCTTAATTTCCAGTGCATTTGGATTACCTTTCGCATCAATTAGCTGTAATGTAGCTCGGGTCCCAGGCCAACCTGCAAAGGCCCGAACCTGGAGACATTGGCTTGTTGTACTTGTTCAACTGGCAAGAGAAGAAAGGGTATTTACCTTGTTATGTATTTGCTTCGCATCTTGTTCAAATGAAATCCATGATTCCTCAGGTTTTATCTGTAAGGAAGATAAAGGAATAAATTGCAAGGAGTTGTTTAAGACCAGCTGATGTGGTATGAAATTGAATTGATATTTTCTAGAATTAAATAAACAGCATGGTTCAGATGTCAAATTTGAAAGGAATAATTCCTTTTGTAAGTGAATGATCCACACCTAACACAGCCATTGTTTGGAGAAGGCATGAGGTTTAGGCTTCATTTGGGACAGCTTTCGTACTGCTTTTTAAAACGGCTTTCTAGTACAAAAATTTCAAATTCAAGAAATTTTGTACTAGAAAGTTGTTTTAGAAAGCAAGAAGAAGCCGTCCCAAATGAAGCCTTTACTCGCTGATAAAACGGAATTCAATTTCTATAAAAATGGTGAGTGTAAACAGTGCATATTACCTACAAGGTTAAGGAAAGAAAAAAAAATGCTTAAAAGAACATTGCTAAATTACTAAGTCAAACTGTTATGGGGTAGGGAAAGGAATATGCATTTCTTATTAGTAGAGATATGTATAGAGCTCCAAATGCAAATATTCTACTCCGAATCAAACATAATATACTTGGAAAAACAACCCCCAAATACTTTGACAGAATAAATGGAAACTGTTAAAGCATTCAAAAATATAATTTGAAAATTTTAATTGAATTTACATGAAAATAAAGTATTTCACTTCAAAATGCTTTCTTTTTTCAGCAATATGTCATACCTTAGGAGCCAAAGTAGCTTTAGAATCATCCTGTGCATGTGCTTTGTACTTTGCAGATCCATCTAAAATTGATGGGATTTCATGCATTAGAAGTTTTGCACCTGTTAGGAAAAGACAAAAATCAAGTGGCACAGTTAGACGGCATTCAATTCTGCTAAGGATGAGTAGAGGTGAAAAGAAAGTATGGAGAGTCTGTATAAGACTTAACCCGTGCACTTTACATTGAAAACAAAAGGGCTGGAGTCAAGAGGAAGAGGATACGCACAGGGGTGAAAGAGCTAAAGGCAAGTAAGTATGGATTTCTTCTATCCTCAGAGACATAAAAGTTTACACGTTATCCTACAGATTTATCATTTTTGGAATTCTGCCTTTCTCTATTTGTATGAATCTATGTATCAATAACATAGTGAAATCAATAAAGTTGTAAGTATGTATGTATCAATACCAAAGTGAAATTAATCAAAGTTGTTTTTAATTACCAGGTTAGGGCTTGCTATCAATCCCTTCTCGCCCCCACCCCCCCTTTTCATGCCTCTCATTTGTTACTTCAAATGGCTTTCCTACAACATTAAATGTCAGGACTACACAACATTGCAGTGCCCTCATCTGCACACAATGTATTCTTTTGTACTTTCTTGCGTAAACTTGCCTAAAGTTTTTTTTTTTTAAAACAACACTATATCAAAAACTAAAGATTAAATTTTTTACCTCTTAAAAATTTTCGTTGTGATAATAATCTAGAATATATGAAATCCATTTTTTGTTCATATATTAAAAATAATATTATACATCAAACATCATCCTGTCCTAATATTTCTCAATAGAATGGTGTGATTAAACATAAGCATGGTCATCGCCTCAATGTTGTGCCTTAATGCTTAGCAAGAACATTTCACAAAAATTTTAGGGAGACACCCTTCTAACAATTTGTTTAGTCAATCATGTGTCCTCCACTAATCTCACTAGTTTTTTTTTTAACAACAACAACAACATCAAGCCTTTATCCCACTACATGGGGTCAACTAAATGAATTCTTTTTCTCCATTGTGTCTTCTTAAGAGTCAAATTCTCATTTAAATCTAATAAAAAATATCATTTCTAATATTTTCTAACCATGTCTTTTTAGGCCTACCTCTACCTTTTTTAAGATAGGATAAATCTAATACATCTACTCTCCTAATCGGGTCATCGGAAGACCGTCATTTTAAGTGACCAAACCATCTAAGATGACTCTATCTAATCTTATTTGTCACTAGAGCTACTCTAACATTTTCACGTATGCCCGTTTCACATTTTGTCTCTAAGAGTAAAGCCACTCATCCACCTAACATCCTCATCACTATAACACTTAACTTAATTTTATGCTTCTCTTTTAATGGCCAACATTCTACGCCATAAAATATTGCAGGTCTCACCACCATCTTATAGAATTTTCCCTTAATTTTAAGGGGTGCTTTTTTATCACACAACAGGCCCAATGCATTCCTCTACTTCAACCATCCACTTGAATTCTACAAATAATATCCCCATATATTTCACCATCACTCTGAACAATAGTCCTGAGATATCTAAAATGTGTATTCTTATTAATGACTTGATCGTCTAAAGTCACAATCCCCTCACTAGATCTATTAATACTAAAATTACACCCCATGTATTCAGTTTTAGATCTACTCAAATGAAAACCTTTAGACTCTAATGTTGACCTCCATAATTCAAGTTTACAACTCCCTCTCTAGACTTATCAACAAGAAGAATATCATCACAAAAAATCATACACCAAGGTACATCCTCTTGCAAATGTCTAATAAGAACATCTATGACTAAAGCAAAAAGATTTGGGCTTAAAGTTAATCCTTGATGTAATCCAACTGAAATAGAAACAAGCTTTGTCAAACCACCATATGTTTGAACACAAGTAATAACTCATGCATATATATCCTTAATGACTTAAATTTAAGCATTATTAACTCATTTCATTTCTAGAACTCTTCAAAGCACTTCTCATGAAATTTTATCATATGCTTTCTATAAATAAATAAATAAATATCATATGTAGACCCTCCTTATTGTATCTATACTTCTCCATCAAACCTCTCAATAAATATATATCTTCCATAGTAGACCTACCCGACATGGATCCAAATTGATTTAGAGAAAGATTAGTATCACGTTATAACCTATGCTCAATAACTTTATCCCACAGTTTTAAAACCTGACAAATTAGCATAATTCCTCTAAATGTGTACACTCTTATGCATCATCTTTATTCTTAAAGATAGAAATCAATACATTCATTTTTCACTCATCTGACATATTTTGTCTTCAAAATAATATTGAAAACTTTTAAGTCAAGAAATTTCTTCATATTCTAAGCATTTTCATACCTCTATTGGAATATCATCTGGTTCAACAACAGTTCCACGCATCATTTTTTTAAAGCCTCTTTAACTTCTGTTTTACTAATATGAAATATATATATATATATAATTTGTTTAGTCAATCATGTGTCCTCCACTAATCTCACTAGGTTTTTTTTTTAAACAACAATAACAACATCAAGCCTTTATCCCACTACATGGGGTCAACTACATGAATTCTTTTTCTCCATTGTGTCTTTTTAAGAGTCAAATTCTCATTTAAATCTAATAAAAAATATCATTTCTAATATTTTCTGACCAAGCCTTTTTAGTCCTACCTCTACCTTTTTTAACATAGGATAAATCTAATACATCTACTCTCCTAATCGGGTTATCGGAAGACCGACATTTTAAGTGACCAAACCATCTAAAATGACTCTATCTAATCTTATTTGTCACTAAAGCTACTCTAACCTTTTCACGTATGCCCGTTTCACATTTTGTCTCTAAGAGTAAAGTCACTCATCCACCTAAGCATCCTCATCTCTATAACACTTAACTTAATTTTATGCTTCTCTTTTAATGGCCAACATTCCGCGCCATAAAATATTGCAGATCTCACAACCATCTTATAGGATTTTCCCTTAAGTTTAAGGGGTGCTTTTTTATCACACAACAGACCCAATGCATTCCTCTACTTCAACCATCCACTTGAATTCTACTAATAATATCCCCATATATTTCACCATCACTCTGAACAATAGTTCTGAGATATCTAAAATGTGTATTCTTATTAATGACTTGATCGTCCAAAGTCACAATCCCCACACTAGATCTATTAATACTAAAATTATACCCCATGTATTTGGTTTTAGATCTACTCAAATGAAAACCTTTAGACTATAAGTTTGACCTCCATAATTCAAGTTTACAACTCCCTCTCTAGACTTACCAACAAGAAGAATATCATCAAAAAAAATCATACACCAAGGTACATCCTCTTGCAAATGTCTAATAAGAACATCTATGATTAAAGCAAAAAGATTTGTGCTTAAAGTTAATCCTTGATGTAATCCAACTGAAATAGAAACATGCTTGGTCAAACCATCATATATTTGAACACAAGTAATAGCTCCTGCATATATATCCTTAATGACTTAAATATAAGCATTATTAACTCATTTCATTTCTAGAACTCTTCAAAGCACTTCTCCTGAAATTTTATCATATGCTTTCTATAAATAAATAAATATCATATGTAGACCCTCCTTATTCTATCTATACTTCTCCATCAAACCTCTCAATAAATATATATCTTCCATAATAGACCTACCCGACATGGATCCAAATTGATTTAGAGAAATATTAGTATCACGTCATAACCTATGCTCAATAACTCTATCCCACAATTTTAAAAGATGACAAATTAGCATAATTCCTCTATAATGTGTACACTCTAGTGCATCATCTTTATTCTTAAAGATAGAAATCAATACATTCATTTTTCACTCATATGACATCTTTTGTCTTCAAAATAATATTGAAAATTTTTGTACGTCAATAAATTCCTTCATATTCTAAACATTTTCATACCTCTATTGGAATATCATATGGTTCAACAACAGTTCCACGCATCATTTTTTTTAAAGCCTCTTTTTCTGTTTTACAAATATGGAAAAAAAATTATATTTTCATTTAGGGTGCTAAGTTCACTGAAGTCAATCATTTTCTCATAATTTTCATTGAAAAGCTTATCAAAATATCTCATCCATCTTTGTTGAAAATTCTCTTCTGATAGAGATAATTTTTTATCTTCATCATTAATATACTTCACTTAAATTAAATCCTTATTTCTCTTATCTTTTTTATTGAATAACTTATACAAACATTTTTCACCCTCCTTATTATTTAATCCATTATATGAATCATTAAAAGCTAAATTCTTTGTATCCCATATTATTTTCTTAAACTCTTTACGCGCCTCTTTATATCTTTCTTAATTTTTTGAATTTTTACATCTAAAATAATTTTTTATAAAAGCTTCTTATTTTTTTATCTTTTCTTACACATTTTAATTCAACCAAAAATTATCTTTACTATTATGAGCTTTTCTTTTTGATACTCCAAACAAATCCTTTGCAATATTTTTAATATCACTAGCATATTTTTCACATAACATTATTTTCCTCATTTTTAATATCTTAAGATCTTGAATCTTACTCTCAAAAATATTTTTGTTAATGTTCATTAAATGCCCCCATCTAATCCTAGGATTATATTTTATTTTATTTTACATATTATACCCCTTAATCTTAAAGTCCAAAACCAATAAGCGATGCAGGGTATATAAACTTTCATTCGAAATAACTTACAATCTAAACAATATATTTTTCTTATAAAAAATAATCAATATAAGTTTTATAATATCCATTCTTACAAGCGGTGAGATATTTTTCTCTCTAGCTAAATAAGGTATTAGAAATTACAAAATTGTAAGTTAGAAAAAAATTTAATATGATCTTACCACCTTCATTAATAGTTTCAAATCCAAAGTCACCATTAATTCTTTTAAAATATTCGACCTCTCTGCCAACATGTTAATTTAAATTTTCTCCAATAAAAATTATTTCTTTAAGATGTATCTTTAGAATTAATTATTCTAAGTCATTCCAAAATTTTAATTTTGAACACATCTAAATCTATTTGATAAGTATAAGCACTTATAATATTAATAATCTTAGTATCAATAACAATTTTTAAAGCTATAATTTTATCTCTAATTCTATTAAATTCTACAACATTATCCTTCAAACTCTTATCTGTAATTACACATACATCATTTCTAGCACAACTCTTACCTAAATATCATAATTTAAATCCTAAACTATCAATCTCCATAACCTTCTCTCCAACCAATTTAGTTTCATGAATGCATGGAATATTTATCTTCTAATGAATAATAATATTTATTAATTTCATTATTTTTCTACAAGAGAATCTATATTCCAAGTTTATATCGTAATTCTAGTTTCATGGACTAGCTTCTTTGCTCACATATATTCATGATGTGGAAACCCTTGCTCATTTAATATTGTACTCGGGCACCAGTGAAGTGGCCCTTACACACTTCTCACTGTATTCAAGTCATATAGCAAGTAGCATTCAAGGAAAGACCTAACATTAATAAAATGTAGAAAAAGGATTCATGTCATGATTATTCGACAAGTTTACATTGTCTATCGACTACCAAACGCAACCTTCTACTTTTCTCATCCATGGCTTAGGACCTAGCAACAACAATGTTAAACGTCTATCAACCACAGTAGGAGTAGAACCCATGCACTAGCTTTTTTATACACAAACTTTTTTTTTTCTTTTTTTCTATCCACAAATATTAGAAATGACCTTTCTTTAGTAGATTTAGATGAGAATTTGACTCTTAATAAGACAAAATGGAGAAAAAGTATTCATGTAGCCGACTCCGCATAGTGCGATAAAGGCTTGTTGTTATTGTTCACTCCCTTCAAAGCAGACGTATAAACTTCCTCCTCAAGCTATTAAATTGATCTTCCTGATTTATTCACATAATTAGAAAGGTTATCATTATTATGATTCCTCTCATAACTATTTTACATCTCTATTGATGTTTCCTTTCTTGAAATATTACTCCACTACCTCATGACTGCTACACTAAAGAATTTCCTCCAAGCATTCCACTTCCACATTTTGCTCAGATATCTACTCCTTCACTATAGGTTTATTCTCATCGACCTCAACAACCTCCTTTGATACACCTGCTTCCATACCGTTACAACTAAGCACCCATTAATAACTTCAACATCAAAGATCCATCTCCAAATTGCTCTCCAAAAAAGTACATGGCAATCTACTAATAACCTAATATAGTCTTTTATATCTATTAATAATTTGTTCTCCTCTTTTCGTAGTTTTGACTTGTCTCCATATGTTGTTTCTATTCCCAAGACTAATCAAGAACTACTCCATCCTAACCAAAAACATACAATGAAAATTAAAATGTGTGCCCTTCCCTTAAAAAAAACAGAAAATGGAACATCTCACCACAAATACTTCCAGCACCCAAGGACTTAGAGATAGGATGACAAATGGAGCAATCAAAATGGATGTTTATAAATAGTAATTGGAAATGGCCACACTTGATACGCATTCATTCATTCAACAAAGTTTAAATTTAAAGGGAAAAAAATTAAAATGTCAATTACTTTGTTGAGAAACGAAGCTAAATTTTACTACATGGGTTAAAGTAAAAACAGATACCTTTGTCAAATAATTCTAAAAGTAGCTCTGGTGCCTGCACAGAGAATTCAAAATAAAAGAAAAATTAAAAAAGAAATTGCTTATAGCATAATTGTAATTCAAGTAAACAATGGAAGGTAAAGTTACTAATACAATTTAGGCATTCCAGATGAATATTTTTGGTACCTTCCAGTACCATTAAGTAGAGCTGTCAATTTTTGACACGACCCGAAACACGACCCGAATCCGACCCGGAAAAATCCGGATTCGGGTCAACCCGAACCCGAAACGGGTCGGGTTCGGGTTGAACAAATCGACCCGTTTTAAAAATCGGGTCGGGTTCGGGTTGACCCAGTAACCCGAAATTGACCCGAAAGTGACACGAAAACTCATACTTGACCCGAAAATCCGAGATTGACCCGTTTTTACCCGATTTTGACCCGAAAATCGAATATTGACCCGATTTTGACCCGAAAATAAGCAATTTTAGGTCAACTTCGAGTCATTCGTGTCGGGTCGGGTTGACCCGGACCCGAATCGGGTCGGGTTCGGGTCCATAAACCTGACTAGTTTTTAAAAACGGGTCGGATTCGGGTTGACCCGAACAGTGCCGGGTCAGTTCCGGGTTCGACCCGAACCCGACCCGCTGACCCGAATTGACACCCCTACCATTAAGGAAACTTTTGTGCTACACTGTGAAATCAAACTGTTCATATTAGATTCCCATTATGTTTTCAATTCTTTAAATAATAATTAAAGTCCAAGAAATTTCATGATCTTTCACAAGGAATGTGTAGATACTTGATTAACACCAATAAAAGGAACAAGACAATTATATCCACTGACGCAATTGCACTATAATATACTTCTAAGGCTTCGTTTGGGACGACTTTCTTTCCGCTTCTTAAAGCAGCTTTCTAGTACATAAATTAAAATTTTTGTGCTAGAAAACTGCTTTAAGAAGCAGAAAGAAAGTCTTCCCAAACGAAGCTTAAGTAAAATAAGCATCCATTATGGCTGCTTCTCCCGTGCGCCGAAATCTTCAACCATATAAAAGCATATGAATTTCAAAGAGGTTGCAAACAACGCACAAGTCAAACTGTTTCTTATAATGAAGTTACTAAAGAGGATGCATTAATGATTCACCTTAATGTAGTCATCAACTTCCACTTTTTCATGTGAAATAACAGGGCCAGCATCCAATGCACGAACTGTATATGCAAGTGATACTCCAGTTTCCTCGACTCCATCCTAATCCGATTTAATGGACAACATACTTACTGGGAATTCCAACATCTATTACAAACTTAGACAAGAGGGCTAACCACAAAACCTGTAGAGCTCTTTGGACTGGTGCAGCCCCACGGTACAGAGGCAGCAAACTTGGGTGGACATTGACAGTACCTAAGTGGGTCAATCCATTAATGAGTTCTTAGTTTTATTGTTCAAGTATCATAGAAAAATGATGAAGTAATGAAGATCTCTGACCAGTTAGATACCCTTAAAAAATATGAAGAAAACAGACCAAACCCTCTAGCTTCTTTCAAATAAACTATCTCAGGAGGAGCTCGCTAAAAGTTTCTTGATACAGGAAGGTCTTGGAACACATTTCTCAAAATCCACTAAAGGATAAAAGAAACTTTACTTACCATATGGTGGAATATCAAGAAAGTTAGACGGTAAAATATTCCCATATGCTGCTGTAATGCAAAGTTCTGGATTTAGAGCCCTCAAATCCGATATGAAAGATTCCTGGGCAAAGAGAGTACTAAGTATAAGTTGTTTCAAGAATGTACATAAATAATAAAGCTTTGCATGTAAAGATAAAAACCAAGAAATCAACTAGCTATTTAATTCAACTGATAAGAAAGCCTCGTAAAATAATAAAAGACATTCTTTGTCTACCGAGTATAAATTATTTCAATCAATAAATAATAAAGCCTCGCATGTAAAGATAAAAACCAAGAAATCAACTAGCTATTTAATTCAGCAGATAAAAAAACCACTTAAAATAATAAAAGACAATCTTTATCTACAGAAACTCAAACATGCAATCAAATTAGCGAATAGAAACCACCTGTAGTTCTTCAATTTTGTGACTACCGATTTAATTTTTCTTTCAAGGAAATCTTCAAAATAAACAAAAAATAGTATCTTCATTTACAGAAATTTTAAAATGCTATAAAAATAAGTAAAAGCAAACATATGTTATATTTAGTTCCCCAATCTAGTGAAACTGCAAAAATGAGACAAGAATTAAATAAGTTTACCCTTTATGAACTTGAAAATAAAAAAAAATGCACCAATTGAGGAAAAACTGTTGTTGTTCATGTAGAGATACAAGTACACGCAGACCTTATGATATAAAAATTATGAATACAGTTCTAAGTAATTGTGTATGAAAAGTGTTTAGATGCAAGTACACAACAGATTATTAACTAATAAATCTGTACATATAGTTCTTCATTATTACATCTTTCTAAATGCAGGCAACATTTTTAAGAATAAAGGTGATGCACAAAATTGTGTGAATTATAGATGAATTAAGTTAATGTGCCATACTTTAAAACTATGAGAGAGTTATGGAGCATGGGTTACGACGTGATACTAATGTTTCTCAAAATCAATTTGGATTCATGCCGGATAGGTCTACTATGGAAACTATACATTTATTGAGAGGTTTGATGGAGTAGTATAGAGATAATAAGGATCTTCATATGATATTTATTGATTTAGAGAAAGCATATGATAAAGTTCCAAGAGATGCTCTATGGAGAGTTCTAGAAAAGAAAGTGGTTAATAATGCTTATATTCAAGTCATTAATGATATGTATGCAGGAATTGTTAATTGTGTTCAAACACAAGGTGGTTTGACAGAGTATTTTCCTATTTTTGTTGGATTACATAAAGGATCAGCCTTAAGCTCATATTTTTTGCTTTAGTCATGCATGTTCTCACTAGACACTAGCAAGAGGTTGTATCCTGGTGTATACTTTTGGTTGAAGATATTCTTCTTGTTAATAATACTAAAGAGGGAGTTAAAGGTAAACTTGATCATGGAGGTCAACTTTAGAGTCAAAAGGTTTTCGTTTGAGTAGATCTAAAATTAAATATATGGAGTATAATTTTAGTATTAATAAGATCTAGTGTGGGGATTGTGACTTTGGCTGATCAAGTCATTAATAAGAGTATACATTTTAGATATATTGGGTCTATTGTTTAGAGTGAAGTTCAAATAAATGGGAATTTTATTTGATTAGTATAATTCAAGTTGGAAGGTTGAAGTGGAGGAATGAATCGAGCTTGTTGTGTAATAGAAAACCCCCCTCAAACTTAAGGGGAAATTCTATAAGATGGCAGTTAGACGTGCAATGCTTTATGGTACAAAATGTTGGTCATTAAAAGAGAAGCATAATATTAAGTTAATTGTTGCAGAGATGAGGATGCTCAGGTGGATGAGTGGCTTTACTCTTAGAGACAGGATACAAAATAAGCATATACGTGAAAAGGTTGGAGTAGCTCCAATGGAAGAAAAGATTATAAAGAGTCTCCTTAGATGGTTTGGTCACATAAAACGATAGGCCTTTCAAAAACCCGATTAGGAAAGTAGATGTATTAGATTTGGTTTATGTTCAGAAAGGTAGAGGTAGGCCTAAAAAGACTTAGTTAGAAAATATTAAAAATCACTTTTTTTATTAGATTTAAATGAGAATTTGTCTCTTAACATGACACAATGGAGAAAAAGGATTCATGTAGCCGACCCCATGTCATGGGATAAAAGCTTGATGTTGTTGCAACTTTAAGTTTATTATGCAATTTATCTAATATTCACGAAATGGTCCGCATTTCTACTTAAGCTTATATTTCAAGTCAATTCATGTTGATGTTATTCCACTTGAAATTCTTTGCTAAAATAATTGAGTATATCCCACTACGTTTATTTGACCAATTTAAACGTTCTTTTGAAATAAATGACTATTCAAACAAATCTTTTACAATATTGATTCACCCTAAGAAATCCCCAAGGTTATTCCTCACATCACATATAGGAATGTAATTTTGAACCTCACAATAGTTATGTTGTTGGATAGAACCATAACCTATATGATTCTACTTAAATTGCATCATTTATTATTATTTTACTGACCCAATAAATATATCATACATTTAGTTAACATGATGGCACAACCATAAGCTATGTCATCAATTTGATGCAAAATAATACATGGTCAAGTGTTTCTTAATGCGACTTGAATAATGTAATATATGTAAATCATGCAAGAAAATTTAGGATTTGCATATCATAAACCACCACATAAGCCAACAATTTACTTCTTTGAATACAAACTATAAATATGAGAATTAGAACTCAAATGACAATTTAATGATCAAAGAAATTTGAATAAGTCAACAAGAAATTCAAACAAAATAAAATCAACGAGCAATTGTAATTTAATTCCCACAACTAGATTCTCAATGGTATGAGTTTTGAAAAAAATCATGAATATTAGCAAGCCAACAAGAAGTTATGTAGAAAATACTTTGATTAGAGAAAGTAGCAACAAAATAAGAAATTCAGACCTCACATCAATACAAGAAGATTACTTACTCTTGAATCAGTAGTCGCATAAGTTATAACAATAACTAAGTGAAAAATAGTGCTTAATGATCTCATCATTTGAGATTTTTTATATGTTCTTCAGTAATTACCTCAAGCAATTATAAACCAAGCCCTCTCCTCACAATCCTCTTGTTATTTTTAATTGTTTAAAACAATCTTCTTGTAAGAGATTAAGTGTGTTTTGCCTTTTATCCACTTGTTTTTGCATTTGCCAAAACCTATAGAGTGGTTCCCTTATCAAGAACAACCAAAGGATGGGTTATCCTAGCACTTAAGAATACGAGGGAACAATTCTAATATCAAGTCTCTAGAAGAGTACAGATTCTACAAAGGCTTCTTTGTATGCAATGGCAAAGGAAGGATTTAGGTGTTCAGTGTCGAATAAAGTTAAAATCGATTCACACACTTCATATTAATTACTTTAATTGCATATATTTAGCTAAAAGCATGAGAGGTGTAAAGGAAAAGTTTTTCATGTCCATAATTTTTGGGTGTTTTAGGTGAGATTAAATGAGCGCAAAGTAAATTTTAAAGTATTTAAAATGCCTCAAAACTCTTATTTTTTATGCATTTCTTAAGTGATCAATTGGCTATACTTATTTTTTTTTATGTTTTTTGCTCTAACTCCATCTCCTAGTTGCACTCCTTATTCATCATCTCTCAATCGTGCTTTGATGTTACTTCATGCTCCACTCAAGATCCAACCCTCCCAATCCGACTACATCTCCCATCTATTCTCTAGCTCCACCGTCCACAAGCACTCCATCTTCTACATGCACTTTAGCAATGTCCTCCTACTCCAGCACTCCAGCTCCACACATCCCTCTTAAAAACCTGCACAAGCTCTGCCCCTCTTGCTTCCATTCCAACTTCACCTCCTTTAAATAGTAAGTCGATAGGGATGACCCCAACACCGTCTCCTCTACCAACCATTGAAATATAAAACAATTTTATCTATTCTGTAAATGTAATCAAGCAATTAAAGCAAATAAAACACATTGTACTTCTTTAACAATGAATTCCTAAAATATATATATTCTGAATGCATGGAAGCATACAACCACATATTTGCCTATATTCATGCTTTTGTGGTAATTGTAATATCATGAATGCTTATATGTTATTTTTGTTGAGTAAATCATTATACCTGTGAGTAAATATATCCACAGCATTATTCATCTTCAATGAATTAATATTTTGTGTGAGTTTATTTCAGTTGTGCTTCAGTATTTTGGACAGAATTCAAAGAGTTAGCAAAAACTCTTTCACACCCTAATTCACCTAACTTCTTGTGGTGTGCCATAACTCAACGAACTCCATCTACAAGCCATCTTCAAATCCATTTGCCAAGCACTGGTTTCTGAATCTAAATTTTGGCTATCTAAAAAGCAATTCCATGCCATCCCGGATTAAGTGAAGCTTAAAGAAACACCAGTTCATAATACAAGTTAGGGCATCCGATTAAAGACTACAAGTGAAGAACTAAACGAAGGACAGTTTATAGAATATCAACACAGATAGATAATTATTGGAAATCATCTGGCGATTGTACCTCCCCAGCTCTTTCAGGTGTAAAGATAAGGTCATGAGGAAACCCTTTATCCAACGCACGTTGAGCAACTGGAGATGGCATCACCTTCCTTCCTCTATCCCTCTTTGAGGGTGGTTGCGTCACAATTGCTGCAAGCTAATTCAAATCGATAATAATCATCATACATTTGACTTCTATCTATACCACAATAAAGATTTCCATAAAAAACACTTATTTCATCTATTCCATGCCCAGAGCTTTCACGGATAGCCATTTACCCGAAAGATGGAACTTGGCACTCTTGAGGCATCGAGAAGAACATCCAAAACGGGCAAGGACACCTGAGAAGTTACAATCAGGAAGCCATTAACACAAGCGGCATATTTCTCGGCTAGAGAGAGAGTGAAAGAGAGAGTGACCTGGGGAGAACCCAAGAAGACTATGTTCTTCTGCTTGGAGGCAGTCGCGCTAGCAAAGTAAGCTGCATTACCGCAGCAGAAGGATCGGCGGAGGGAAAGAGCTTTTAATGGCATGATCCTCTTCAAGCTTTTAACAATCGGCTTTTGATGTTTGATGAGGGAGGTTAGGGGAAGGACCGGCCAAGGCTGGCCAATTTTAAGAAGCTGTTTGGTTGGAAGTATTTTTAGTGTATTAGATCAAAAATGCATATATATTAAATTTTTTGTTATTTTGTTTGAAGAAAAGTACATATAGCATAATTTTTTAATATATTTGAAAAATAGTCTTTGGTTCATCATCAGTCATTATCATCGCTCGCTACCGGCAATCGCCGACCATTGCCACTTCCCACCTGCCACAACAACTGCTTACAGTCGACATCATCGGTTGCCACTGCATCATCATCGGCCATCTTTGATCAAGTATTGTTTTAAATTCACTGCTATTGTACTTTATATTTTTTTTCCTTCAAACCAAACAAAAGAACATAAACTCAATTCAACCAGTATAAGCAAGCAAATTGATTGCAATTAATCACATGGTTCTAGTTGTTTTTATAGTATATATATGCTTTAAGGAAAGGTTATAAATATTTGCATTATAGGTTCATTTCAAGGCTTATTTGCCTTCTTTCTCTTTTTCACATGTCTTATAGCTATTTATTTTCAATTAAGATGAATAAGTTAGGCAAAGTCCCTAGTACAAAAATATTTTCCATGCATTTATGAGAGCTTAAGAAAGCTAAGGCTTTTAAGTAGTAGGGACTCATGTAAGCAATGACAATCAAAATTGGCTAAGAAGAAAGTAAATTAGAATCGACCGAGGCGATAAAAGAAGAAACTGAAGTAACTTTTATTGATTTTATAGCTTCTTCTAGTTTTCCTCATCTTGCAGATACCGACCATGAGAATATTAGTGGGAATAATATTATTCTTGACCCACCTAAAAAAGCTAAGAGTCATTTGAATAGGACTTAGAATGTAATTATTGAGTTTATTCATTCTACACTCCCATCCAAGGTAAGAGATCCTTGAGAGAAGTTGTCAGTTCAAATAATGTGTTGATCACTTTAGTTCTCAGAGTCATTCTATTCAATATGTGACTTCAATAAAAGAAAAGTCTGCTTGAAATATAAGTATAAGATTTTTTTTTTTACTTTTTCAATCTTTTTTATAATGTATAGTTAAGTAATGTTTATCATAGTTGAGTATCATATTCAAAGACATTTTTTTCTTGTAATGTTGCTTTTATTTAGAAAAATCGTTTAGACATTAAGTTAAGATATTGTTCTATTATTTTATAATTTATTATTAATTCCTTATAATCAACATTTTCATATGAATTCCCATAAAATAATATATCAAATGTAGGGATTTAGGATATATTATAGGAAAACTAATAGAGTGAGCACAACTCACCATAAGATCCTATATATCAAATCAAAGGGAACAAGGGTTATAAATTAAGATAGTAAGAATGACCTAGAGTTATAAATTAAGAGAATAAGAATGACTTGCCCTAAGCTCCTAGCTTCTATGTTTAGGAGAAGTAAATATTTTAAGATATCATAATACTAAACATAGTTCACCCGATAGTGAATCATGCTATTTTAAAGCCTTAAGATTTGGTGATACAGAGACTTCACCCAATGTTGATAAGTCACATCACTATGCTCATAAAGGATAAACAAACTCTAGAAAGATGTGCTAAAGTCCTTAGGCCATCATTTATAAGGGTTTATGGTTGATTGAGAGTCTACAAAGAAAAATTAATGCCATGTATATGATGGCCATTAGAAATACTTAGGATCTACTAATGCTATCATAAAATATAGTAGGGCCATAAGAGAGAAATAGGATTATCTAAGATTACTTAGGGCACAACACTAAGTAGTATAAGATAATAATGAAAATTAGTGAAGACTATTAAATTACCAAAGCTAAATAAGAATAAGGGCATGGTCAACATTGGAATATCTACTAGATTACTTGATTTCAACTAAAATAATTTAGGATTACTTTCACTACTCTACTTAGCATAAACTATGTGGAACTAGCACCTAATATGGGAAGACCACAAAATAAGAGCATTATCATCTAGGCAAAATTAGTTAATTTTATATTTATAAATCAAAGAGAGGGAGTGAATTTTAATTAATGTTATTTTTTCCCTTCACACTAATATTGATTTGACATCATATTCAATTATTTATAGAAAGAAAATAAGATATTATCATTTTACATCTAAATATGAAATGTTTTGTATTATCATCATCATTGTTATATAGATATATAAGAAAATCAAGTTGTCATCTTCATCATAAAAATATGAAATAAAATTATCTTCACTACTATTATCCAAAAGGAAGGAAAAATTATTGGTTTTTTTTTTATTTTTAGCCAGTGTGGTGAAATTATCAAGGAAATCATCCTGATGATACCAAGATGAAATCACTCCCTTTCCACATTGACTTGTCTTAAAATTAAAATCAATAAAGGAATCAATGATGAAAGGTTTAGATGCTTATTTTAATCAGTGGTCTAACCATAAGATTATTTTTAAGCTATTTTCAAGTAGGATCAAACAATCAAAAAATCAAACATTAGAATCAAAATTTCAATGATTTATAATGTGGCAAAGCCTCAATCTTAATCATTGATCATTATGTATTTATTTTATTAACGAAAAAGAAAATAGAAATATTAGAAATAGTGGCTTTATGATAGAAAGTGGACTTGGTTGAGTTATGTTTTGAAAGTTGTTTTAGAGTAATATGATAAGTACAACTTGGTGATTCTATCCCATTAGTAGATTTTTTTTGGCCTAACTCAAAATTATTTTTATATATGTTCATATTACTTTTTCGTATGAATAACAATATATCACTTCTCTAACGTCATGATTTCATTTCTTTTATAGGTTTCTTCTCTTTTCTCTTGCATTGGTTAGGCTACCACTCACTTGACATCATGGTCTAGATTCCACATAATAGCAAAACCCATCTTCTTTATCATTTGTTATTAGAGCTAATAACCTAAATACTTATTGATTATGAGGTAAAATTGGCTGATCTCTTATTGAATTTTTTTGTTAGAATTGAAAGTTTTTAGTTTTGAGCATCAAAATTTTACCCTCTCACGACTCATTGCTCTTAAAAAAATTTCAAACTTTAACATACTCCTATAAGGGCCTCTTAGTGAAGATCTTTGTTAATTCATTGATGAGTATCAACTCTCATTAAAATATTATTTATAGAGTAAATTTTTTTTGTATTGTCATGCTTAAGGGTAGTTATTTTTGTTATTATTCATATATTGCTTTCATAGTTATCTTTTGTGTTATTTTCTAAAGAGCTTTCAAGAGAAATTTGTTAAAGTGTTTATCAATCATATTCAAATATTTTAAGCTACATTTCTTTTGTAAATGTATTCTTCTCTAGTTCTCTTAATCTTTGGTCTTACTAGAATTTATGATTTTTAGCATAGATTATTCTGTTATATCGTTTAGAGAATGAATTGTAAATTTCAGGATAAAGCATTTACGTTCACTCTGAAGTTCAAGAGGGATTTAGTTTGGTGTATTGTATACAGTTTAGAGATTAGGCTCTTAAAACCATCTATGTTAGGTATTTGGATGCACTTTCTCATTAATAAAGATAGTGTAAAGCTTCAACATCGTTAAAGAGGGGGTTTGCGAGGCATACTCAGTGTAATATCCGAGTGTTAGGATGCATACCTTATAATTTACCAAATAAAATAAATATCATTGTGATATTTTTTACCATATAGTTTAGATTTTATTATTTAGATACTTAATTACTTCTACTTACTTTACATTTGGTGGTTTTCATAATAGTTGGTATGTTTGGAAGCCTATAAAGCTTACAATAAGTAGATGAGAAATCACCACCTACAACATACAACCTCTAAGCCCAATGCCTTGTGAATTCTTTTCCACTCATATAGAAAATGAGGTAGTAAAACTTTAACACAATTCCTATGGTTGATAATTCCTTCTTTGCTTGTATGATTCTAGAAAAGGGGACATGGATCAAGGCGTTCATATCTTGACTTACAAGTCCTAAAGTAAAGTCCAAAATTTGATCTATATCTCATCCAACTTAGAACATTTTGAGCATTTCTTTCCTAGTGTATTGACTTATGATCAATTTATAGTAGTATATTTGAATTATTCGATAAATATGGTTAGCGAATTCTCAATTAAAGCTTGGTTATAGTTAATCGGTGAGGAAAATACTTAGTGAAAGACTATTGGATATTCAATCATGCTTTTTTTTAAGAATTAAGGGACAATGCCTAGACTCACACACACAACACATACGCATGGCTCAAACCCAATACCTCTTAGTTGGTAGCCAAAGTATATAACTAATAGACTAAGGATAGCTGCATTCCAATCATGCTTTAGTATCCGAATAAAGATCATTCCTTTTATGTTCATATATGTATTAAATAAGTAAGAGGCTATCCTAAGCATTTATCCAAATGGAGTTCTACTACAACCCAATAGAGATTGTGGTGCAAAGAAGAGATATTTGGCCTAGTTTATTCCTTATGAGAGCTCTTCATGAGAAATAACCTTGAGCATGAACTTATTTCTAATCATAATATTGAGAGAATAGCCCTAACGAGCCATTATTTCTACTAAAAATTCCTTTTGAAGGTGCATTAGATGTTCATCTTAATTAAGTTGTCATTGATGGGTAACAAAACATTTTGATGTGCTTGTAACCTTCTTTATATCATGAAGCATACAAATAAACAAATGTTAAATGGAATATTTTTTTTTAAACAATATTATCTCATAATATTAATAATATATTTTCACTTAACTATTTTCTTAACCAATCGGTAAAGTCTTCTTAGAAAAATTTATCGAGCACTATAAGGTGTTGGCGTAAAATGTTTGCCATTAAAAGAGAAGCATAATATTAAGTTAAGTGTTATTGAGATGAGGATGCTCAAGTGGATAAGTGGTTTACTCTTAAAGACAAGATACAAAAAGAGCATGTCCGTGAAAAGGTTGGAGTAGCTCTAGTGACTGATAAAATAAGAGAGAGTCACCTTAAATGGTTTGGTCATGTAAAATGGTGGCCTTCTGATGGAACAATTGTTATGTCATCTGACCGGACGTAGAGCTACGTTTGGCTGCCAATAACATGTCACCACGTGATCTTGCTCTTTACCGCGCGGCCTGACGACTTGACCCGGTCCGGAACCCGGGAATGTTATGTTCGCGTATTGCTTGGTAAAAACTCGGTACAACTCGGTATTGCTCGGTATTTCTCGGTATTGCTCGGTATTACTAGGTATTGCTTTGCAATAATGAGAAATACCGCTCTGTGAAAACCAATACCGAGTAATATCGAGTTGTACCGAGTTTAAAAAACTCGGTACAACTCGGTATTTGCTCGGTATTGGTTATTGCTGAGCAAAATCGACAAATACCTAGCAATACCTAGCTAAAATCAAGAAATACCGATCAATCCTGTGTCCGTTCTAGATCGGGTTGTCGGGGTGTGCGGTAAATAGTGAGAAGGCGTGGCACAATTCTATTGGCGGCCGAACGTAGAGCTACGTCCTATGACCGGACCAAATAAAAAAGTTCCTTCCGATGACCCTATTAGGTGAGTTGATGTATTAGATTTGACCTATATATGTTATGAAAGTTATAGGTAGACTTAAAAAAACTTGGTTAAAAATATTAGAAATGTCCATTCTTTATTATATTTAAATAAGAATTTGACTCTTAACAAGACACAATGGAGAAAAAGATTTCATGTACCCGACCATGCCTAGTGGGATGAATGCATGGTGGTGATGATGATGATGATGTATTAGGTTTTGCTTTTCCAATTCTTCATTATTGCATAGATGCTTTTGAATATTGATCAAGAGTCACTACTCTTTAATTTCGTGGGTGGTCATCCATTTAACTAAGGTGCAAGGGGGTGTAAGAAACTTGAGAGGGAATTAATTAAGGTGATAATGAAAAATTACTTTCATAATTAGATGTGTGAATGGTTGGACTTCTTAAGAGCTAGTAAAACCCTTGAATAGTCTTCTCAAGGACTAGCCAAGCCCTTGATTAGACTTATCAAAGGTTCACTATCTCTTTCATTAAATCCTATGTGCATAACATAAACAAATTTTGGCATATGTGTAGTGCAATTTAAAGGGAAGCATAGAGCCTTTTATTGCTACCTAAGCTATCTTGCAAGAAGCAAATATAAAAAATAATTAAATTTATTATCCCTCAATCAAATGATAATTTTTTTTGTTCCCAAAGATGAAAAATATTGTCATTTAATTTTTTTTATATACCATTTTTCAAAACATATAAAATTGTTTCAAAAATAATTAAAATAACATTTGAAGCATTTAAAAAATTTTAATGAAAACCACAATGACCAATTAACCGCCGCTACCACCCCAATTCACTATCATAATCACCTTTGATTGATTACTATTGCTATTATTGCCACTTGCAACTGATGCCTATCGCTCACAGTCGTAAGCTTATTTCCAACAACACTGACTATTAGCACCACTATTAACAATCAATATTATCAAAATTTAGTAATTGTCACCACCAATAATAATCATCTACCACCCCCATCCCCTGAGCTTTTTGTATAAACAAATTTATTTGATATATCTAAAGATAGAAAAAATAAATATTTTAAATTAAAATATAAATAAAAAATAAATTTAATAAAAAATTTTAGATGAAAAATATGTAAATATATGAGAATTAATTAGATGATAAATATATAAATATATAAAAAAAATATGTAAATACATAACTATGTTTTTTTTTTTAATTATGCCCGGTGAGAAAATTATTATTTGTGGCATCCATCGTCGGAGGCGAATTCGGAGCGCCACCTCACCCGGGGCCAGTTCATCCTCGGCCGGTTCGGTCACTGCACGTAAAAATCTCTGGAGGGAATTTCGCTCCGTTCTACAATTTATCCCGTCCTCGATTGCCACCGAATTCCGGAAGAATCAACTGATCTCTTCTTATTTAGGGTTTCGTCATTACATGCCAGAGAATGGGAGGGAATTTCGGCTCCGTTCTACAATTTATCCCGTCCTCAGAACAGTTGCATAGGGTGAATCCTTTCTATAAATTACGGGGTGTAAGGGGTGTAGGAAAGGAGAGCTTCAATTTGACAAGCATAAAGGCGTAAACTTTAGAATTCTTGGAGAACAGTTGCATAGGGTGAATCCTTTGTATAAATTACGGGGTGTATGAAAGGAGAGCTTACGCATAGCCTACGTTCGGACTCCGCACAGAATAATTTCTCGTAGGGAAGATAGAGCAGAAGAATGAGGAAGGTGGTGTTAGGAACGGCGGTGGCGTTTGTGGCGGCGGGTTGCGCGGTCGCAGCGCTGATCGTGAGACATCGGATGAGGAAATCGGGGCGGTTGGCGAGGGCGAGGGCGATCGTGAAGGAGATCGAGGAGAAATGCGAGACGCCGATCGCGAAACTGCAACTGGTTGCGGACGACATGATGGCGGAGATGCACGCCGGCCTTGCAGACGAGGGCGGGAGCAAGCTTAAGATGCTTATCACCTACGTCAATAATCTGCCGACGGGGTAATTTTAATTCTTAAGATGCCGTTATCCTCCCCTTCGTTCCTAGATATGATTTTTGGCTTGGGTTTTGTTCTTCTTTCCTTAAAACTTTGATATTTTAATGTCCAAATAGGGTTTTTAATGTTTCCTTTTTCGAAATTTCGTTTTTGGTGGGCTCTCCGATCTTCCATCTCGGTTGTGGGTAAAATTTTGAATGTTTGACTCAATTTCATGGCTCAAATGTTTCTCTTTTTGGATAGTTGCATTAATGTGAATCGTCCAATTTATGTTCCAAGAGACATGCGTTCTTAATTATGAAAATTTTCAACTTGGAGATATTTTGATCCGTTCTCTTTCTCTTTAATTTTATGGGATTCTCTTCCAAGTGCACTCTTCAAACACATGAATATTCGATATGCCCCATTCATATGTTATTCACTCGGAGAATGCATAAATTCGATATGCCGCATTCATAATTTCATAGCCTTGCGCGCCCAAATTTTAATGTAAATAGATGCATTTTTTGACCATATCAATGCTCCTCATAAATTTCAATGGGCACTGAAACTTCATTCAGCTTTTCCACTAAAAAAAGGATCTAAATTATCATATAGGTGAAGTCTTGGTTATTTTTGGATGGATGCTGTACTGGACAGATGATAACCTTTCGTTTGTTTAAATCTCTACTAGAGTATTAAGAGAATCTAATAACAAAGTATATACCTAGTGAGATGTATATAGAAGGCATTAATTAACTTATAGGTATTATTTGCCAAACTTTGAGTTATATGATTATGCCTTATTACTAATTAGCTATATTGATTTATTCTCTCTCTTGATTAGAAATTCAACAAGTTTAATTGCGTGAAATCGATAAATTCATGTTCTAGTTGATCATCTTTTTTCCCCTTGAATGCTTATGCTTTATTTCCAAATATGGAAAATTAAGCCTTCTAGCTTTTATTATTTTGCATTAGGAAAAGAGAACATTGCAACTCTTTTTAAGGTTCCTAAAACTGTTCATGTAAAAGAAAACAAATATTGGTTTCTCTTTATATCCCCAAGCACTTCTTATCACTGCAAAATAATAGTAAAGTTTCAACTTCAGCTTTTATATCATTTGATTGGTAACGAAATAAACCATATTTGTATTTTGTTGGCGGTGATTTGCTCTTATTATAAACCTTTCTTCAAGAGGCCACTAAAGATAACTAATGCTTAATTATTTCTGTTATAGGCATGAGAAAGGATTGTTTTATGCATTGGACCTTGGAGGAACTAACTTTCGTGTAATACGTGTACAATTGGGAGGAAAAGAACAAGGGGTCGTGAAGCAGGAGGCTGAAGAGGTCTCTATTCCCCCGCATTTGATGGTTGGGAGCTCCCATGTATGTGAAACTCTAGTGTATTGACTTATTTTAATCAGATTCGATATCTGTTGTCTTTTCTAATTCATGTCATTTAATTTTTCCTTTAGGAACTATTCGATTTCATTGCTAAGAGGCTTGCAAAGTTCATTGCTTCTGAAAGTGAGGAATTCAAGCTTCCTGAAGGCAGGCAGAGAGAGCTTGGGTTTACTTTCTCTTTCCCAGTGAGGCAGATTTCACTTGCTTCTGGCACTCTTATCAAATGGACAAAAGGTTTCTCCATTGAGGAAACGGTGCACTCTTTTCATCTCTTTTTTATCAATGCCCATATTTCTTTTGAAGGTGTAGTTTTGACTGTTATGTTCATGTGTTTATGGTCACTTTGGAAATAGGGTTGCTATACTTTTTGTTTACATAATTTTTCTCTTTTAAAATTTAAAACCATCAATTTTATAATTAAAAAAGTGAATGGATTTAGCCTTAATGTCGTAAGTTATTTGCCCATTATATAGTTTTGTAAGTTTTGAAGATTTAAGTTCACAAACATCCCTTTTCTTTTCCTTAACATCAAGGCAATTTTTGAATGGTCTTCAGCTATTAGATAGCATCTTGGCATTCTGGCCTTCATAGTATGGAGGAAGTTGATCTTATTGATGAAAAAATGACAATTTGAATGCCTATAGGCCTAAAGAACACGCCTCATCCTCTCTAGCTACTAGCCCACTATCAAAAAGTCATTTCGTTTCTCCTATATTTATTTCCATTAGCCATGCACAGCATAAAATTTATCTTAATGCAAGAATGCTTTTCGTTTTCGTTTTTGATCTTTGGCTGATGGTCATTTACAATTGTGGACAGTACTTGAGAACTAAGTATGGAATTCATTTGCGTACCAGCTTTGTTGATATCCTACCCTCCTAAATCTATGAATGGGAGACCGAAATACCTATGCCCTTCTATTTGCACCATGCGATGTAGTTGTTTGAATTATTTGAACTTACATGGAAGCTTGATTAGAATGCTTGTTTTGCTATGCATGAGCTTCTCAGTTTGCATAATTGTGCCCCTGTGTTTTAGAACTTATCCATTACATATTATTTCTTGTATTATTTTCTTTAGTAGAACTAGCATTCAAACTGCTGGTTTAGCTTTTCAAATAATTCATTCAAGTTTCTCACAGAAGCATAACAATTGGTAATGCCAGCTCCCATTTACAACTTAATTTTTTGTTAATCTACATCTGGAACGTGCTAGAGAAATTAAATACAATTTTTTGATAGCATAGATTTTAATGATGGTTTTCTCTACTCCTTTTTGTCTTATGGAGACAGGTTGGGGAAGATGTTGTGGCAGAGTTGAATAAAGCCATTGAGAGGCAAGGTCTTGATTTGCACGTCACTGCACTTGTGAGCTTTTTATTCTTTACTCTCTCTCTCTCTCTCTCTCTCTCTCTCTCTCTCTCTCTCTATAAAGTGTCATATGACAATTTTCTGTGAAATATCTTAATATAGGTAAATGATACTGTTGGGACTCTAGCCGGTGGAAGATATTATGATAATGATGTACACGCATCTGTTATATTGGGTACTGGCACAAATGCAGCATATGTAGAGCGTGCAGATGCTATTCCAAAGTGGCATGGCCTATTACCAAAGTCTGGGGAGATGGTAAGAAGCTTTAATAATACTTTTTATGTACTAAAATCGAGTTTCCAAGCATCTCAGATTAGTAGAAACAAGTTGAATGAGTATTATATAAATGTCAAAGTGGTTATTTTGATATTTTAGATCTTATATCTGTTGTCATATTTGAAGATTGTGATTAATAATGTAATATCTTGCAGGTCATCAACATGGAGTGGGGAAATTTTGTATCATCTCACCTTCCCCTGACAGAATATGATCTGTCATTAGATGCTGAAAGTTTGAACCCTGGTGAACAGGTATACTTTTATTACATATGCTACTATATTCGCCGAAATAAATCATCATCAAACCATTACAAAGTGCCATATGGAGATGTTTTTGTTAATTTTTTTACTTTCCTCCCTCATACATTACCAGATATTTGAGAAGCTGATTTCGGGAATGTATTTGGGAGAGATTCTAAGAAGAGTCCTCTTGAAGCTGGCTAAGGAGGCTTCTTTATTTGGTGATATTGTCCCTCCAAAACTTAGCATTCCATTTATACTGCGGTACGCTTTACTTTCTTATTATGTTTCGGAGTTCTAATAAACTAAATAAAATAATTATTTTAATTGTGAATTGAAGGAAATATATAGTATAAATGCTATAATTTTATTTAAAACTTCATATTTTCTAAGTGCAAATGTTTAGAATAGTGTATTTCATGTTTTATTCCATGTTTTATCATACTTATATTTTATATTTATGAGTTTATCCCACTGGATAAGAAAATAAGATTGAGGAGGTTATCTTCTTCCAGGACCCCACATATGTCTTCCATGCATCATGATACATCATCAGATCTCAGAGCAGTGGCGAGCAAGTTAAAGGATGTATTGGAGGTACTTAAACTCTCTTCTTTTAAAAAAATTATTCTGTGCGTGCATCAGATGTTGTTCGGAGGCGAGTCAGAGCACGCCACGTCATCTCTTTACTGTGTACGGCGGCTTTATACCCGCTGTGTACCAGGTGACGTGATGGGATCTGATTTAAGAAGTTTGAGACCCATCATGATCACTTTTGATCCGAATATCCTAGTGCATAACTTTTCCCAAGATAAAACTGGTTCAGGTAGTTGATATCTTTTGTTTGGCTTCATTGTTTCAGATTACAAATACCACCTTAAAGACCCGAAAAATGGTGGTCGAGATCTGTGACATCATTATAAAGCGCGGTGCTCGATTATCAGCAGCTGGTATGGTTGGTATTCTTAAGAAGCAGGGAAGGGATTCTGGAGAGAAGCAGAGATTTGTGATTGCTGTGGATGGTGGTCTGTTTGAACACTATACCTTATTCAGAGAGTGTTTAGAAGGCTCACTTGCAGAGATTCTTGGCACAGAAGTTGCTTCCTTTGTGATTATCACACATGCTAATGATGGCTCAGGCATTGGGGCTGCTCTAATTGCTGCTTCAAACTCCCAGTATTCTTTGGTAGAGACTTCTTAGTATTCTTTGAAGAAAATTCCAATCAGAATGTCCTTATCAAATTCGTGATTATGATGAATTTTAAATACATTCGAGTTACTTTAAGATAAGTGCAATACATGTTTTCATTGATCATTCATATGTTGCCCTCATCTCAAAGAAAATCCAACGGTAAATTTATCATGACTCAACTTCGATCATGATGTTCTCGCTAAAACCATTGGATTTGCTTTGAGATGCGCATGAAATATATTTTGATTTCTTATTCATTTATTGCACTAATTTTAACGTAAATTTCGTAGTTTCGAGAGTCGTCATGATTATAAATTCGATAAAGGCATTTTGATCATTTTTTTTGTACATATTTTTCATTTTTTTAAATTTTTCTCATTCACATTTTGTTCCACATATTCTCATTTTTGTTGAGTGTAACATAACACATAGGAAGCATTTACTATATTGTAATGAAGCAGCTCAGGAGAAAATAGGAGCTGTGAGGCAGTCTGTGAAATAATACCATTGTACTCTTTCATTTATTCAAAAGGCCTATCCAAATAATTGGAAAAGAGCTAATGATGATGAATAATGTTAGATCACTATATGTTTGAGATTTGCATTTTTTTTTCTTGGATTATTTTTATTTCCTGAAAAATATTTATTTGGGTTGAGGAAACTGAATGGAGTTAAATAAAATTATAATATTATCTAACGTAAACAAAATTATAATTATTAGTTAATTATAATTTCTTGTTTTATTAATCTCAAAATAAATTTAATAATTTACTATATGCGAATTTCTATCTATAAAAAAGAGATTATTAAATTGATGATATTTTGAATTTCAAAATATGTGCAATAATCAAACCTCTAAAATCTCTTAAGATAAATACTTAGAATATTTAATTATATATTTGTTATTATCAAAATAAACTAATATATTTCATGAGTTGAACATAATCTACATTCTTAGGGTTCATTTGAGATGATTGTAATTTTTTAAAAATATAGTTGTAAAGTTATAGCGAAGAATTTGTCTATTATATTTTATTACTTTTTAAAACGGTTTTCTAATATAAAAATTTTAATTTTTATGTTAGAAAGCAGCTTTAAGAAACAATAAAAAAGTCGTCCCAAACAAAATCTTAGTAAACGGATGCTCTTTAGATAAATTGAAACATAGAAACATGCTTTTTAACCTCTTAAGGAATTTCATACAAAGAGAACATTCAACATTACATGATTATCCAAACATGACATGTTTGTCTATAGGTGCAATGATGATGAAAGTGATTTGCTAGGTTATATGTTGAGATAGTACAAATGTAAGAATTTGTACAATTCAACCTTCATTAAAAAATGATTGACTTTGGTAGAACTAGAGATTGTTGTGAAGAAATTAGGCACAGTTCTCCTAGGGGGGTGTCAATATTTGACCTGACCCAAAAATCCGACCCGAACCTGAATCGGGTCAGGTTCGGGTTAGAGATTTCGACCCGCTTGTAAAATCGGGTCAGGTTCGGGTTGACCCGGAAACCCGAAATCAACCCGGTTTGACCTGTTTTTAATTAATTTAGGAGGGTTTTAATGGATTTTCATGAAATAAGTAAATGATATTTCAAAAAACTATAAACGTTATTGCTCAAATTAAATTAATCTTGATTTATTTTAAATTAATTGAAGTAAATCTTACTTTAATTTGATTTAGATTTAAATAAATTGAATTAAATAAAAAAAATTTAATAAAATATACCCGAATCGGGTCGGGTTGACCCGAACCTGAAGCGGGTTGGGTTCAGGTTCGGAAAACCAACCTATTTGCAAAAACGGTTCGGGTTGAACAGTGTAGGGTCAATTTCGGGTTGGACTTGAACCCGACCCGTGACCCGGTTTTGACAGCCCTCTTAGCAAAGAAGCTTTTTATCATAGTTGAATTATAGAAAATAGCCCTAATAGAACATTATAAACTTCTTGTTATATCCAATCATGAAGATCAATATGATTTAACAAATTAAACTAGCAATCTTTCAACAACAACAAAAAGGATAATTTAGCTTGACTACCATAGGTTTAAAAGAACTAGTATTTAGATATTATGGAGTCTATACAAAATTTTAATTTCATTTTTTTCTAAGGAACTCCTTTGACATTCCAAATTAGGGATTCAATCAAGTTCTAAGAGAAATGTCAAGAAGTTTTTTGTTAGCCTTGGCTTTTTCATATGAAAATTTTTATTAGCATCTCTAGTAATAGGTTTTCCACATGGAATTTCTACTAGATCCAAAGAAATCACCCTTATCCTAGCCCTAAACTCTAAATCCGTTCATCATATGGTTCAAGATATTTTATTCGAATTTTCCTCGGCCTGAATTACCTAACGTAAACCTAAACTATTTATTATATAGATTATGCAATGTTTAATATCAACATGACCGATTTAACCCGAAAATGATATGCTTAACTCATAATAGGATTTAGTCAAGTTAATTTCGAGATTTCAAGTCTATCTGAATCCAACCTGAAAATTAATCGGGTCAAGATTTCATCCATGAACCCGACCCAAATAATAATTGGGTCAACCTGAACTAGAATTTTTTTAGTTGGGCGTAATTAGGATGGTCAGGTTGGATCATTTATTGAAACTCCTACCTAACCATTTATTGAGTGGTCTAAATTAGAGAGCTGTTATCCTTCTCTTCATCTAACAAATGAGCTTCCTTTATAAAAGGGGGAACCATCCTTACAATTTATAAAGAGTGTTAGTCTATTTTGATTAAGAGAGATATTTCTCACTTTAACTAAATAATTAATATTACCAACTTCATTATTTGCATAAAAGTTGTTTGGGTAATCATTTAGCCAATTACACCCCCTAATCCGCCAGTAATCACCCTCATACAACCACAAAAATTTCAAAAATATCCTTACAACCAAAATTTGTTCTAGGGGAAGCCCCACCCCTTTGACCCCATGACCTGCTGGGCAGGTCGAACCTCGCAAGGGGGAGCGAGGGGGACGCTACCCCCTTGGGGCCCCGACATATCTGCGAAGCATATAACAATCATGGATATAAACAAATAGGAGTCGAACCAAATTCAATGCAAATCTAATATATATTTTGTAGAAATTGTATGATTAATCAATTACATCATTTTGATTTTTTTTTTTGCAAATTAATCAATTACAAGAAATGATGATCCATTTTCTTGTAGTGAAGGGTTGAGCCTAATTTGAGGCAACACCAACAGTTACTTATAAATTTGCCCCCGTTGAAAATTAAGGCCGGTTCCACCCCTGGCCATACAAAGCAAGAAATTGCATGGAAATGAATTAAAATTAGAGTAATATAAAATACGCAGAAAACTGAACTAAAAAATTAAGATTCCCTGCATTTTGCTTATATAAAATCCATTTTTATAGCAAATCAAAATCAAACAACCCCGAAGCTTTTGAGTGCAAATTTATTGAGAAAATATCTATCTTCACCACAAAATATATGTGCAGAAAGGATCTCAAATAATAATATCAGTAGTTCTGCAGCTTGAATGGAGCTTAATAAAAAAGTAAAAGTTTTAAACTCTATGGAGCTTAAGGTCAAGTTCGAGCAGATCAGCCTAACTAAGCTCAGTTTCGATATGAGTTAAAAGTGATCAAAATCATAATCCCTTAAGGAAAGGACATAACTTACTATTCATCATAAGAAGAATGAGGTGCTGCAGTGCACCCTGGATCAAAAGGATCTTCAGAGCCACAACAATGCCAGTACTGGAAAACTCTTCCAGAATCAGGTGTGTCCATAGTTCCTCCAGAGTAAACGCTTTCAAATTTTCTCTTTGTTTCTCCTAGAATCACAAAAGAACATAAATATACGTTACAGATGTGTAAATATCAAAGAAGAAGAAAAATGGAACAAGAAGATGAAAGCCATTTGAAGGCCTCTACATTTTCAAAAGATGTCTTCAATCATTTTGTAAAGAAACTAAATTAGATTTGTTATGATGTGGAGACTAGTTTTTTTTGTCCTACTAAGTAAATGTGCTATGATAACTTAATTGTGGGTTGATCTTCATATTAAGGCCGTCGTCCCCCGAATTCTCGTTTCCTCTCGAGAATTCGGGGGCGGAGTACTTGAAAGATATCCAATATTTATGAGTTAATTCATCAAGGATATTTTGAAAATTTTGTGTATTTTCAACAGCCTTAATTATTTTTTTTACAAAAAAGGCATTATCTTATGATTTTATTAGAGTTTAGCAGATTTATGACTATGATTCTCTACTATTAAACCATAGTGAAATTTGCATGGCAATAAGACTCGTCAACATTGAATGAACTTCATAAATTCTTATGTTTTTTTGTGCGTTAATCTTATTTTCAGTTTTCTGTTCTTTTTTTTTTTTCACTCTTTTTGAATTAAGTTTTGCTAAATTTCTCAACATGATTAACCCTTAACTTCAAGATACTCTCTTAACCACAAGATCAGCTCCTAAAAGACTACAATAGTACAAAAATATGTTCAAAAGTTACAAGATTTCTTCAATCGAGAAGGTGCTTTGTGCATTTAGAATGTACCAATTTGAGGGCAACTTTAGGGGATACAAAGTTAGTCAACAATCACTAACAAAATCAATTGCTATTCATAATTTTAAATGGATGTTAAGAAATATTAATAGGAGTTAATCTATAGCTTTGTCTTTCTATAACATACTAACATTAAAAGGCACAACAACACTATATTAACTTAAATATGAATGTATAGCATTTTAACAAGCTTCAAGGAGATCTCTTTCTACCAATAATGATCCTACTTACTAAATGACAAGAAAATGCACATAAGGAATTGTGAAATGCTGAAAAGCTTCATTATTAGCATATAATTTATAAACTAAGAGATCCTAACATAATGATTTTTACCTTACTGGTCGGCAAAACAACCATAAGGTTTGCTGAGCCATCAAAACCAAAAATGATAGAGAAAGCAATTAGTGCAAGCCTTCCAACATGCCAAAGAGAAACAAAGTTCTAACAGAAAAAAAAATAAAAAATTGTGGGTAGAATTTTCATTTAATAAATATATTACATAGTTCTAAGATGTAACACTTATCTAATTATAAGGAGAGATTATTACAGAGAGAATCGTTCAATTTTATGACAGTGAACAATAAAAGTGCATGGGTAAATAGTAAAAGCACAGTGATGAACAATAATTATGCTTTTACTTTCACAAAACCGGATGGTTCTTTGTTTCCGGACTCCGCATGTAATAATCTATCCATTATAAGGCCTCAACATGACAGCTTTGGATTGGAATTCAAATACATTTAGAATTATCTACCCATCATGCATTTGATTACCATGAAAGTCTATGATGCATTTAGATTTTTGCATTATTTTTGTTATGAACAATATTAGTTATATTTTCTATTTTTGTTTTATTTTTATGCTATCCAATGATGGTGGTAAATCCAATGATCATGGTAGGAAAAGGTTTGAGTTATGCTTACCATGGGTTTGCTGGCTTTGGGGTCCACCCTGTCCTTTGGGCTGTTTGCTGGTTTCATGTGGTCCTTGACTGTTTTCGTTTTGAGCTTTTGAAATTCTAGTGGTGGTGTAGCTCATTATGAGCTGATGTTTAGTTATAAAATTAATGTTTGGGAGCTAGATTTGGTGAGTGGAACTTGTTCTTTCATATTCTTCTTGAATTGGGGCTGCTGCAGTTTTTCTTCTCTGGATTTCTCTCCCACGGTCTGCTGCTCTCTTCGGGAACGTTGCTGCCTCTTCGGGTGGCTGCCTGCTTTACTGCTAAGGCACCTTTTTGACCGTGATTTGAATTCCCTGTTGGAACTGTAACTTGCCTCCTGGTTTCCTGTGCTGAAACCGTGGCTTTTGCTTTGTTCTTGGCTGATTCCGTGGCTTTATTCTTCTTGGATGTGTCTCTTGGGATTTCAGCAAGGAAAGCTTTTGGCCTTTCATTTCTATATGGGGATTTGAGGAACTTTTGGGCTGTTAAGTTTCCCCTCTATTGCCTATATATATATGATATTTTGAGAAGAAATGGTGGGTGAATATTTGAGAGCAAAGTTGCTATAACCTGCGGGTTCTTCTTGGAAAAGCTTGAGAGCTTTGTCCACCTTCTTCCACCTCCTCTGGAAATCTTGCGAGCTCTTTCCAACCTTTCGTCTCGGCTTCTAACCTCTTTCTTCTCTACGCAAGTTCCACTCCACCTGTATCTTTCTTCTGGTTCCGTTGGTAAGAATTGTTGGTTGTTTTTGGTGGCATTTGCTGGAGGAGTTTGGTAGGACATTGGACCCCTTTGCAGTGGTGGACCCTTGGTTTGCATATCTAAACCTTATTTTAAAATATATTCCTACAATCGGTGCATGTGAGGAGTCCTCTAGTAGGATGTTCTGAGGATAGTGTTTATGTTCACATATAAATATAATATCTAACCCTA